TTTAATATTTATTGGATGAACATTGTTTCATGTAAGTTAGATACATAGAATAATAATTCATATTTCAACAGTTTAGATAAACCTGTCAGTGATTCAATAGGTTAAGCGTTCATATGTGAGACTGATATGTTCTGGATTTGAATCCCACTAGCAGAATCGTGGGTGCGCACTGCTGAGAAGTCCCACAATAGGACGAAACGGCCGTCTACTGCTTCCAAGTTTTCAATGATGGTCTGACATCAATCGGTTCATGATCTCAATCAAAAATCTGTTCTTGTTATATTGAATTGATATTAGATCACAGTTACGATTGATGTATGATGTATCCAAAGAGGATTGCCTTGATATTATCCATTATGATATAAATCTATATAAATTAGTTGAATAAAGGAAGAGTATTTTATTTCATTTGAAACACAGTTATATAGATATATTGAATTTATGCGAGTTTCATATTACTTAACTTTATTTACTACTGTTACTTCATCATTGAGGAGCATAGGCTGCTCACTAGCAGTCTCCATCCAAATCTATCCTGGGCAATTCTTTCCAGTTGTTATTCAACTTTTTTATATCTGCTTCTGTTTCTCGACATAATGTGTTATTCGGTCTAGATCTTCTCTGCTTTACTTCAGGATTCGAAGTTAGGGATTGATTTGTGATGCAGTTTGATGATTTCCTCAATGTGTGTCCTATCCATTACCATCGTCTTTTTATAATTTCCTCTTCACTGAGAAGCTGGTTTGTTCTCTCCCACAATAGTTTATTGCTGATAATATCCGGTCAACAGACATTCAGTATCTTCCATAGACAACTATTTATAAATACTTGTTCCGTCTTGATGATAGTTATAGTAGTTCTTCAAGTTTCAGCTCTATACAATAGAACTGTCTTGACTTTCTTATTGACGATTGTGACTTTGATATTGGTTGACAGTTGTTTTGAGTTCTATATATTCTTCAACTGGAAGAATGCTGTCTTTGATTCGCCAATCTTCGCCTTTACGTCTGCATCTGATCCTCCAAGTTAATTGATGATGTTCAGGTACATGAGAAATTCCACATGTTCCAGAGTTTCTCTATCAAATGTAATTGGGTCGGTTTTCTCCGTGTTGTATTTGAGGATCTTGCTTTGCCTTTATGTATGTTGAGGCATGCTGATTCAGAGGCTGCTGCTACACTGTTTCTCTTGACCTTCATTTGTTGGTGTGTATGGGATAGAAGGGTCAAGTTATTTTCAGAGTTCAAATTGTCTAGTTGATTCCGGGCTATCCATTGTATTCTGTGCTTCCCCTCAGATGTGGAAGCCTTTGTCATCCAATCAACCACCAGAAGAAGGAGAAGGGGGGATTAAGCAACCTTATTTGACTCCAGTTCTTACTTGGATTGCATCTGTTACCTGTCCTCTATGCACGACTTTGCAATGTAGTCCATCGTGAGTTTCGGATATTGATGACAATCTTCTCGGGAACTATATAGTGTCCAAGACGTTTCCATAATGTTCTCCTATCTGCACTGTAAAATTCTTTCTCATATTTAGTGAAATAAATGTGTATTGACAAGTTCCACTCAACTGATTGTTCGAAGATGATTCGTAGTGTTGCAATTTGGTCTGTGTACGACCGATGCTTACGGAATCCAGCCTATTGATCTCAAAGTTAAGCGTCTACTGCGTCTTTCATCCGGTTCAGCAACACTCTGTTGAGCACGTTTCTTTCTATCTATACTAGTGTGATTTTTCTGTAGTTCTCACATTTGCTTAGATCTTCTTTTTTGGCATCTTCATGAGGTATCCTTCTTTCCAGTCCGTCGACAATTGTTCCACCTCCCAAATCTTCTTGAATAAAAAGTGATGCGTGTTTACTGTTACTTCTATGTCGGACTTTAGTGCTTCAGCTGATATATTTTCAGGTCTTGTTGCATTCCAATTCTTGATTTATCCGATGGCCATCTTGATTTCTTCGATTGTTCGTAGAGTGACATTTCGCGTTTCACTGTTAGTTATATTTATTCGATTAAATGTGCTTCAGTGTAGCATGTATTCTGTATATATATATTTTTTAGTTGAAAGCAAATATCTAACAGAAATTGCCAAGGAAATTTCAGATCAATCTAAAACACGTAAGTAACAATTCGACCGCATCAATGAACGTATCACAGTAAAAGTTATGAAGCGTTTCAGGAATATTGAGAAACCGAGCATTTTAAATGTAACTAAGGATTTGATTAAATCATTATTATTATCATTATTATTATATCCAAACAAATTAATGGGTTTGTAATCATTAAGGCAACTCTGACTGGAGCCCCTCCAGGGGCTACTGCCAGTCCTAAACCCGAATAAAGAAGGAGAGTTGGATACAGGTTTAGCGACTCCATCCTGTAGAAAACTAACTCGCTAAAAAACGCTAACCAGTAATCGTTAAGGCACTTGAACGAAATCATACTGTATTCGACTATTATGCTGTATAGTAGAATTCATGAGTCAATTAATGCTAGAAGATTATTGAGAACTTGGAAACACTGGATGGCCGTTTCTTCTAGTGACCATTAGATTTCAACTAGGTTTGTTGTGAGACAGTAACTCACTGAAAACAATGGTGGACGGTGGAGCAGTTTCGTGGATTAGTTGAAGTTAGATACTAACACGATTAGATGTCAACAGAGTGATCTAGAGGTTAAGAAATCTAGCGAGCGCAATCATGGATGCACACTGTTGAGAAGTCCCATACTAGGACGAAATGGTCATCTATTGCTTCCAGGTTATCCATGGTAGTCTAGTTTCAATTGACGCATAAATATAATTATTAACAAGTGTTTAGCCTGTTGTAGTTTGATAGTCTACATGTACCTGTGATAGCAAGTCAATAGGAAAGATAGAGAGAAGACCCTTTACAAGATCTTTTGAACACAGTCTTAGGAACCTACGACGGAAAAAAGGAAAGTCTTTACAAGTGTAGTTGCCAGACATCTTGTCGATAGTTGACACGAGGTGAATGTAAGTGATACATTCAATCATCGATCCTACTCCATCTTGCACAGGCGATTGTTATCAAATCTTTTCAAACTGACTTACATATACAGAAAAAAAGTTTAATTAGCCTTTCTCTACCATAGTGATTGGATATTTGTCTAATGACCTGTGGTAATCTTAATCTTTTTTTTTCAATACAGTCTCCAACCTTTTATTATACTATCGTCTTCTGATATTCATCTCTTGCAATATCTGATTGATATTCCCAGATTTTTATATTCTATCATATTGAACGATTAGCTAATCATTTCACAATCTTCAATAAGAAAGTCAAGACAGTTCTATTGTATAGAGCTGAAACTTGAAGAACTACTATAACTATCATCAAGAAGGAACAAGTATTTATAAATAGTTGTCTATGGAAGATACTGAGTGTCTGTTGACCGGATATTATCAGCAATAAACTATTGTGGGAGAGAACAAACCAGCTTCTCAGTGAAGAGGAAATTATGAAAAGACGATGGTAATGGATAGGACATACATTGAGGAAGTTACTAAACTACATCACGAGTCAAACGCTAAATTGGAATCCTGAAAGGAAGTGTAAAAGAGGAAGACGAAGGAAGATATCGCGTCAGTAATTAGAAGAATGAATATAAACTGGAAACAACTGTAAAGTAGAAGTCATGACAGAGTTCGATGGAGAATAGTCGTTGGCGGTCTATACTCCTTTATGATGGGTATCAGGCGTAAGTACGTTTGTAAAATCCAAGAATCAAACACCGATACTTCATTTGCAAAATATTCATCAACTGTCTCAGACTTTTCTTCTCTTCCATATCCATACTAATCACTCTCTATTCTCGTTCTCTTCTTTTCGATTTTCTCCACTTTCTATATCCAGGCATTCCACCTTCTATTGGTGTTGCATACTACTTATATCTGTTGACATCAACAACACATACTATAATAATAAAAATTTCAGTCTTATCAGAAGGGGTTTTGTGGAGATTTTAGAAATTTTACTAGTTGAAATCATGAGTCAGTTGAAGCTAGACCACTATGGGAAACTTGGAAACACCTGGCGCCTGGCGCGAGACTGATAGGTCCTAGGTTCGAATCTCGCGGGGTGCGGGATCGTGGATGCGCACTACTGAGGAGTCTCATACTAGAACGAAACGGCCATCCAGTGCATCCAGGTTTTCCACGGTGGTCTAGCTTCAATTGATTCATGATTTCAACCAGTGAAATTTCAGTTTTGTATATATTTTTCTATGAAAATTAATACCAATGTTTATCTTTACTAAAGGATTTATTGGACAGCATTATAATACACTTAGTTTTATATCTTCCGCATAATAACTGAAATCATAATGAACATATTTTTTTGATTGAAATCATGAACTGATTGGTGTTAGACCATCATTGAAAACCTGGAAGCACTGGATGGATGTTCCATCTTATTGTGGGACTCCTCATACACATACACGATCCTGCTTTCATGGTTCAAACCCTGGATCATGATCTCAATCAAAAACTTAATAGTTTCAATGACCTCACACTGACCACGATATTCAATCCATTTATTATTTGTAGTCATTTAAACATTATGATGGGTTACTGATAAGGTATGAAGGGTGTAGTTCAACTATATTTTATATGAAACACTTATACACCTCACATCCTATGGAAGATGATCATTCAATATAGTGAATTAATTAGAATTAGATGTTCGTAATGTTGTAATGAACAGAACACGGGTGGAGACTTATGTCAATATAAGTAGCACACACGACAATGTGATCAAGTGATTAGTGATTTGATCAACAAACTGAAATTGTTTGATCTTATTTTCAGTTTGAAGATCATGAATAGTCACTAATGTGGAATTCCATGATGGTGTAGCAAAGATCAGTTATTGATCCAAATATACATCAAATCAATATTGGCAATCGATACTAATATAGATAGAATTGAGAAAAATTTGATTGTATTAGGGATTTTCTAATTTCTTTTTTTCAGTTAAGACTGAAACAGAAAAACCGGAAGATCAGTTGAATATATCAACGACAACAACAACAACAACAACAACACTCACTCCATCGACTATAACCAAACAAATATTAATACAAAATGTAAAACCTACAAACAAAGGTGAGTTACGTTAGTGTTCTTGTTGACTGGTTCATTATATGTATACTCAAATAGATTACTTTTTTATTACATACTACATATTGACTTTTATATAGACTTACGTACATATATACATGTATATTTAGTTAGTTAGTTACTTACTTACTCTTGTTACTCCTCGTGGAGGAGCATAGGCCGCCCACCACCACTCGCCATCCAACCCTGTTCTGGGCAATCTTTCCCAATTATTATTCAACCTTTTCATATCTGCTTCTATTTCTCGATGTAATGTGTCCTTTGACCTTCCTCTTTCCATAGAAAACGAACTCGTTAAAAAAATACGCTAACTTATATACATAAGTACCCAGTAATTCGTCTAGTTCTCTTAATCTCTACTAATCTACCTCATGAGTTCGGTAACAGCTATCTGTATAGTAATAATAATAATATCATGATTATATCCGAATTAATCAAAGTGGTGTGAATAACTTGTCGTATATACCATTATTACCTATCCCTATTGAAGTTGATTACTCAAACTTGATTGTTCCTTTTTTTCAAATATCAATTGTCAATCGTCTTCTGACTTCAATATTCTTACAGTTCCATACCAATTACTTTCTGATCCCATTCTCCCCATCTCTATGTTCTTGACCTACTACTTCTGGAGATTCTTGTCTTGACTAGTGTTATATACTACTTATGTCGATATAAGTAGCAAACATTACATTAACTAGCATCTCAGTTCCAAGCCCATATCAGCATCCACAGAACAGCACTCCTGATGGGTACCGACATCAAAAGTAGTAAACAACTAATTCAAACATATACATATCATTCTTTTGTTTTAGTTATCAATGATAATGTTTCAAATACAAATCAAGATAATGAAGTAAATACAGTAAAGAATGAAACAATCAAAAATCATACACAGTCTTCACTCTCTGAAAATTCATCATTTGAAGGTTAGTTGTACCATTTATCAGGCAACTTTTATGTTACATTTCTATTTGTACTGTCAACTGGATCCAGTTATCAATTCTAACTTCTTAGAGCAATGTTGAAATCTTGAACAAAGTTAAGTTAGATCATTATTTAAAACTGTTAGGTTTGAAGCTATCACAAGTTCACTTAATCTGTGAACGAGAACAAAGACTCAGTGACCAAAGACCAGTAAGCTAGCTATTTGATGCGTCCCAGCCCCGATAAATAGAGGGAGAAATCCAAGCTTGGAATGGGAAAGTATATTTTACAAACAGGCAGAAACGGGTGATCACACAACGATCCACAAATGGATCCAAAACATTACTACTCATTCTTCTTATCGGGGAATAACAAAAACTTGGAAGTACTAGATGATCGTTTTATTCTAGTATTAAAATCTGATAAGATCATAATTGATGGACGACCTTTGACCAACGTTAAACTGACCTTCGAGAGTGTCTGCCTACTTACTAAAGTTAAGTGAAGGTTATAAAGCAATTTGAAGAATAAGGATCATAATTTACAGTGGATGGTTAGAAATTAGGGATTAGATTTACGGTTTTTCATCACAAACTGTCATCAGCTAAAATGTTAAGACGCTATTCGGCCAAATAGGTGGATGAATTTTCGCGCCAAAATCTAAGACCTATTATCGTAAATCTAATTGGTTTGTTCATAAATTATACTCTCACTGAAAATCTTTACCAGTATGTATCCATTATCCAACATCCGGAGATCAATCATTGAACTGATCATCTTTAACAGTGTTATAGTTTAACTTCAATTCCCCCCCCATAGCATGACTTACTTTTTAAAATTACTTTTCATAACTCGGAAAACTGTCATCCTTTTTCTTGTTGTTGTTGTTTCTTTCTCTTTTATTACATTTAGGTTATATCTATCTAATCTATTTGCTTATTAGTATAGTATTAGCAATATTTATTATTGGAGCAGTCTATTTCTTGTGTACAAAGTCAAAGACTATTTCATCTTGATCAAATGTAAATTCATATTGACTAATCGAATTGTTTTATTCAACTTTATTCATTAAAATAAAGTTGTTACTATGGAATTTATGTTTATTTTGTTTATTATAGAATGATGATCGGATGTTATCTTATCAAAATAACTAAATAGACTAGTTCATATGGCGAGACTCTAATTTATAGACGAGCCAATCAGAAGTGTTTTAGAGAAGTCAAGGTTACAGCGCCAATTTCAGTGCTTAATGCTTATGTACGATCCGTTCACAGGGAATTTTGTACAAAATGTGATAATTGAGCAACTATAACAAATAAAACGGCGGGACCATAATTTGTGGACGAATCAATCAGGTATAAGATAATAGATTTCGGGTTTAAACGCCAAAGCCTTTCATCCATTTGGCTAAATAAAATTTCTGGCATTATAGCTGATGTCAGTTCGTGATGAAAACCCCCACATATAATTCCTAATTAAGGCAAATTATGACAATTATTGCGAACTGGATAATAAAAGCACCAGTAACACTGGATGCAGCCAGGTACTACAATATATACGGATGATTGGAGAGAGTACAGACTCCTACATGGGCTTGGTTATGTGCATCGTGTCGTTATCCACAAGTAGCATTCTGTGCACTCAACAACCGGAGTGCACACAAACAATATTGAAGCTATGTGGTCGAGGCTGAAGGAATTTTTGAGATTTTATTATGGCTGCAGAGGCCGACTATTCTGTAGCGATATGGATGATTTCCTCTACTGCATGGATTACGATTTTAGAACCTCTGAACCTCTTTCTGACCTTGTCAAGTTTTTGAGTCACGTCTAAGAAGTGTATCCACTTTATTTCCTTGGTTTTGTATAACATATTTTTACTCTATACTGACTGTTTGCTGATTGGCTAATATTTCTCACGGTCACTGAAGTTTCGTTCGGTCGTCCATAAATTAGATTCTCGCTGTTCACTTTTATAGTTCAATTCATGGGTCTATTGAAGATAGACCAGTATGGACAACCTCGAAGCAATGGATGACTCCTCAGTAGTGCGCATCCACGATCCCGCCTCGTGAGATTCGAACCCAAACCTTCAGTCTCGCGCTGGAACACCTAACCTCTAGACTACTGAACTGATCGGCATCCAACGGTATTGATGTCTAACCCCAACCAATCCATAAAATCGAGCCAAGATCTAACATTGTCTTAAGTGAGCTACTATCTCACTACAGACACAATTGTAAACTCCACTGGTTACGGTTTCTCACTAGAATTCTACGAAATACCAATTGAAGCCAGTCACTAGTGAGCATAAGATGATTATTATCAGGAGTGGGTTTTATGCAGACTTTTAGCAATTTTATAATTGAATCGATGAGTCATTTAAGCTATACCACCATGGAAAACTTGGAGGCACTGAACGGCCGTTTCGTCTTCGTATGGGACTCCTCAGCAGTGCTCATCCACAATCCCGGAATATGATGAAACATACATCCTGGATTCCACTGCTAGTTATTATCCATCTGTGATGATTGAGAAGATTGATGAAAATAAAATAAGTGATGTATTTATAACATCTTAGTGAGTAGAAAATTGAAGTTACGACGTTTCATGCTCAAGTTTCAGTTAGTTCTTTAGAGCATCAATGATCAAACTGCTTATTTACAAATATCCTTTTATTTATTTATTCGAACACATAAATATTGGTACAAAGAGGTACCGAATACATATAGGTCACATAAGTCACTTGATTTGTGTGTAGGCTATGATACTTCCCGAGTGTCCAGACCAAAGCAAACGGTTTTCTTAGGAGGCCACACCCGGAACCTCCGACCTAAAGGTTTGATCCACAAAGCGTTAAAGCAACGTCAAGAGATGTAGTCCCCTGGTAGCTGATGACCAACAATTGATTCATACGCCATTTGTTCCTTCAGAATCCAGGAGTCCATGTGTACAAATATTCTAACTGTCAAAGTTTAATCAAACTAGTACAAATGATTTGATTTCATTTGTGCCTACAATCTGGTGTCAGACAATCTTCAGTAATGTTAGTAACAAAGATACGGGTTTCTCCTGTTACATCCTCTAATAATTGCAGCAGAACGATCTATAACTAATGGCAGTCATACTTGTAGTGTGATGTGTGCTACTGATGTCGATAGATATAAGTAGTATGTCACACCAATCGAAAGTGAAATACCTTGGGGTAGAAGATTAAGAAGATCGAATAAAAGAGAATGAGGACAGAGAGGGATTGATGTGGAAACGAAGGAACATTAAAATCTGAAACGATTGATTGACACTTTGTAAATGAAGTATTTACTGTATGATTCTCAGATTTTGTAATCAAATACATTTGGTTGACCTCGCCTTTGTTCTTGTTCACTACAGTAGAACCCAACAGTCATAAATCAAAAGTTGGAAGCAGCAAAGGAAGTGATTATTGAGTAAGAATAAAAAAATATACAGAAAAACTTAGGTATTTATAGTTATTAGTATTAGCTATAACATTTATGGGGTCCTTTAATTTTCTCATCATTTAGATTGAAAGATGTTGTCGAAAGGGCTCTCCATTTTAGTGGCCCGAGATCTGACTCCAAGAAGATCGTAATGAATGTTTGTTATCGTCTATGCTCGTTTATAATGGTCGACTTTAATCGTGTTAGTCAATAACGGAATTCAGCTAATTCGTAAGGAGGCAAGTTATGCTGTCATCTAATCGTACGATACTGTTTTGATATTTTCAAAGACTCTAACAGGTTCTGATTGAATTATTCACTGAAACTTCGGTTTCCATTGCACGGAACCTTATAATTTACAAAATGTACATAATCAGGATCTTTGTGTTGCTGATTTCAGCTAATCGTTTTATAGTTAATGAGGACGACATTTGATTGACTCTAATTTGGCCTTGAGAATGTTCACCTACTTACCAAGGCTAAATTGGAGTAATAAACCTGTGTAAACAATGAAGATTATGATTTACAATTGATAGTTAAATTTAGGAATTCGATTTAAGGGTCTCCATCGCAAACTGACATCAGTGAGAATCCTAAAATATCTTTTAATCAAATGAATGAATGAATTTTGCGTCAACATCCAAGACCTCCATAAGTCCATAATCTCGCCTTTAATGGACAGTCATTGAGTTAATGAAGAGGATATTATAATATTTAATGAAATAAACAGAAGCACAGAAGCATTACAATATCAAAACACAAAATAATCTGTCATTCAAAGAATGGGATCTAAATACACATATGCTACTTCATAAGTGTATAACGTTTCAAGCCTACACACCTATTCATAAACGGTATGAAACATTTTTGAAAGTATCATTCATAAGGTTCTAATCATATTCGACTTAGCTCAGACTGAGTTCCTGTTGGAGATGTTAGATCCTCAGAACTCACTTAGTAAATACCTTGATTTTGTAATTTTATTTTGAAAATTTGAATTTCTTTGGTTTCGCGACAAAAGTGCACTTTACACCTGTAATGTGGCGTCGAGTTGCGGTTGACGATGATCACCACTACAGGAAGACTACGTCCCAGTTTATCGATAAGATCCCCCGTAAGCTAAATATCAGAAGACAGTTGATGACTATAGTCGAGATGTATTTGTTGGCGATCTCGTGGTATCGAAAGAATACCGAGATCTTGCCAGGTTACAAGTGTGGCTACTGAGTGTAACCGGATTCGTGCAAGGTCACAATCAGTGAAAGGAAGAATGTCTTTAGTACAGTTAAACAAACAAGTACAGTAAAACAATCACTGATACAATTGGTTATAAGAATAATTGTTTCTATTAAACCGATCGCGTTCTCTTCATAAAAGTAGGTCACTACTCACCTTCATGTCGAATTTTCCACTTGGGAGAATCTTAAACGCTGTTGATCTGTTGTATCTTTTAGTATGCTATTTTGTAACGCTTCTCATGGACAGTTTTATGCTGTATATATACGTTTGATTTGTGTCTGTTGTGATCGTTCATGTTTCTGGCTTTTTACAGAATATGCTTCCATGTTGAAACTTCAACTTCTCTCTCTCTCTAGTTAGCGGAGCTGAGACACATCAAAATATATAGTTTATTGGTCTTTGGTCACAGAGTCTTTGTTCCGTTCATAGACGAAGTGAACTCGTTATCACTTCAAAACATAACAGTTCTCAATGAAATACTTTTTGATTATTCTCTTCATCATTCATTTGTTCATAATATCAATTCCAAGAAGAAAAACAATAAGATGAATACAATTCTACGTAGTTATAGATTCAACAGTTGAATTATGGCTAGTTATTTAGTTTCTTCTGAAGTACTAACTAACAGTATATGCAAGTTAAGGTTATATTGTACCCTAGAAATAGGAAATCCCCAATGGCACACTTAAATGATGTGAAGTTAAGCCAATAGGCTTGTCTCTAAACTTGAATTTGCGTAATCAAAAGGTGTAATTATTAGTTAACTAGGGCTATTTCTTTCACATTACTGCAAAGGGTTGATTCGTTTAAGAGTTAGTACATTTATTTCTCTACAATACATTCATGAATGATCTCCACATGAAATCCTCCAGTAGTATCATTAATCAAGTCAGAGGATTAGGAATTTTAAAATCATGAATGAATGAATGAATGAATTCCTATTTCTAAAACGACTGATCCCTACTTTCAAAGCCTAAAACACTTAAAAACCAACTACTAACACTTAAACTCCTAGAATCCAGTATCTTACCTTTCAACTTCTTACCCATGATACTTCATTACCCTGGCTCTCAACATTAATTCATCTTAATGTTAACCTTGAATCCTTACGCTAAAAGGAGATTGTTAAGTTTGTCTTACATTATTCCTACTTGTTCCCTTTCTACTTTTATACTACTTATTTACACTCAGTAAGCAGTTGTATTCCCAACAATGTTCACACTTATGTACTGTAATATTCTGAAATGTTCACAGATACTTATAACGTTTATTGTTCTTATCATTGTATTTATCATTATATTCACTGTACCGAGGCAAGCT